TTTTTTTTCTGTTTTTCTGTGCAAAAATGCGTCATGACTTCTGACAACCCAATATAAATGGCTGAACTGGAGCTTTAGTTGCTCATTGTATTCACAGAAGATTTATTAGGAACATTTTTATTCATTTACCCATTTAAATATGTGCCAAGTATCAAATTAAGTGGTTTTAATACTTCAAAAGCTGAGAAAGGTCTCAGAACAGGTTAGAACTGTATACACAGAGAGAAACTGGTGTAATAATCAAGATGTCATGAATGATGAACCGTCAAGTGCAAATAGAAGCGTCCAGGTAACTTCTAACAATTCATAATTCAGATGGGAACAAATGAAACTGTGAGTCGACTAAAATGGAATGCAGACAATATCCTGGCATTACTTTGTGTCTTAACATTCTCAAAGTTCTAAAGAGATTAAGAACATGAATGTGATACACTGTGTAACTGTCATTGGCTCAAGTGATGCAGAAGAATGTAGGCTCTTAGTGAAAAGAGGGTTACTGTAAAGAGGACTTAGGGAATTTCGTGTTTCAATTTCTGTCAAGGCAGATGAAGTCATTTTTCTCTGTTAGCTTGTGCAATCAGTGTTAGTAATTATAAACAAGTCAGCGATTTTAGATGTGTGCTAGAAAGATGTCTCTAACCTTTGTGGGTTTTGTAAATTTATAAATTAGGCAATTGTGTTTGTAGATTGTATAGAATTCTTCATAATCTAATATAATGAAATATATCTGTAAAGGGCTATTTTAGAATCCTTACCTGGTTTAATTATGGCCACTTTTATAAAGAGCCTAATCTCATTCATGAAAAATACCCTTGGACAATGAGGGCTTGGAGAAAGCTGCGACTCTAGAAACCTGAAACATCAAGAAAAGGCCCCTCGTTCGTCCTGGATGTGATGATAAAATATTGATTGAAGGCCACAGGCCATTGAAAATATAATGCTCTTGGGCCTTTTTTTTTTTTTTTTAAACAATCATATGGGAACTTCAGTTGGAGTTTATTGCTTTAGTCTGGCATGATTTAATCTTTGTAGATTGTTTCTTTGATATATATATATATTTTTTTTTTTGAGAGGTTTTTGCTATAGGGTATGTGCACTTGCCAGAAAGACAGAGAGAAACAAAGAGCAAGAAATCACCTCTCCCCCATGGCCACACTGCAATCCCTTCTCCTCCATTCTCCTCTCAGGATCCTGGGCACGCACACATGCACCCGGCATGAGTTTAAGCCACCAGGTCCGGGTCTCAAACCGCAGTCAACTACATGGGAGTCCAGTGACATAGCCATTATACCAGCCGCTGGCCTAAATATTTTAGAAAAAGTATTTTCACTATCATAGGTGAAGAGCTGCTTTTTCCTTCAAATCATTGTACACAATGATGCAGAATACTTAGAACTCTTTAAATCAAATGGATTTTTGGAAGATAAACACAAAGGCATGAGGTTTTAAATAGAAAGATATAAATTAAACCTGTTTGTTTTTATTTTATGAGAGTCTGAGTGTAAAAATTTTCTTTTTAGTGTAAGCTTCTCCAATTATCTAACGGTACAGACTTAAAAATTATATTTGAACGTTATTTGAGGCTGATGCATCCTAATCAGTGATGGGCCAACGAACCTAGCTAAAGGCCTTTTAAAAGTGATCTAGGTGGGACCAGCAGTTAGTGTAATGGCTATGTCGTTGGACTCCCACGTAGTCGACTGTGGTTTGAGTCCCGGACCTGGTGGCTTAAACTCACGCCGGGAGCGTGTTAGTGCGAGCCCAAGATCCCGAGAGGA